GYGKGRSAYAKAKSMGKKSGTWSRTAMMWMACRMWSAMTKRYYTYYYTCYTTCWTYSATCCATYCATMTATTCTTTCATTCGTTTCTCCCATTCAMTTGTTCGTTTATCCATTTCTCCCTCCATCCATTCATCCATTTAAGGTTTGCACAACTGTCGCGCTCTTCCACTCACTATTCGCGCGCTTCGACTAACAGAGACTACACTTCTCTGTATTTGTGAAAATTGTGTATATCAAATCAACTACCAACTTTTTTTACACGTCTTTCACACATGAATTAAGTATCCAATGCCTCTACTTCAATTTAAACAGATTAGGACCTATCACTACTTAAGTAAGCGCGCAAATGATTCCATTTAGCTCAGGTGCAATTCATCCTAAGGAGCCCAWAACYGACCGSTTTTTTATAGCAATATTCACTRGGTCAAGGCRAATGCTTTCTTTYATACAAGCCTTCGTGTCTAGCAGCTCWCCTGGTGAAATTTTAAATGGTTTTRTAACTAATAAGTGTGTKTTTTTRAGGTTCTTTCAATCGTGTCAGGAATATTGTTCGTGTTTCGGCGGGAAAGAAGTACCATGACGTCAAGAGATGTAGTATGGAGCACGTACTCGACAGAAATAGCCGGCTGTTGTGACACGGAATTAATTACTGAAGTGTATATAAAAGACAGGCAATTGTGAGCAGCTTCCACTGTAGCAAAGCGCTAACAGATCAAAACAACTGTAACCAAATCGTGAACAAATAGTTTTAACTTCGAAAAGTGTTTAACATGATGGAGAAAGGATCAAAAGTGACAAGACCAGATTTTCGCAAAGGATACACTTCGCGGTCGTTTGATCTCGTTACAACTTCTTCTAAAGACATCAAAACTACGAATGAGTATATAACAAGCCCTGGAGAGACGCGAAAGAGAAGCGCCTCGTTAACTTCTCGCATCATAGACAATTATGTGCGGCAAGAAAGTACTAAACAACTGAACAAGAAGGAGTTTGAAGAAGCATATCAAAAGGTTTATGGAGGCGATGCTACGGGGAATTCCACGGCGCTCTTGATCAGCGATACAAACGCTTTTTGGACATGTGGAAATTATGCTGAGGCTGCTCGGTTCTTTTTGTAATTGAATTATTGAATAAAGAAGATGAAMGATCAGAGGAAAGGCAAGAGCTACAAACTCTTTGGACGATCTRGTAGGACTTTTTGTTGCACCAAAAAGCCGCGTCTTACAGATGAACAAGAGGACATTCGTATTGCATAGCAGGCGAAAATGAAAGACATTGATCTTCTTCTAAATGCTATCGGTTCACGGATGAAAAGAGCGAAAAGAAGATGAACACAAAACAATAGTGAAAAGAAAATCGTTTCTAAACAGCTGCAGTTTCTTTAACGAAAGCATTTTCTCATTAAGGCTCGTGTAAATAGTCTCTTTAAAATAGTCCACACGATTGGAYGAGCCATCTTTTTATCACTATTCTAATTAAGCACCGAGTACGAATCATTGCAAACAAGAACAAAGAACAGTAAATGTCACATGTACGAGTAAGATCAGGTATTCTCGAACACTTTCTCAAGGACYATATAATGAAATCGAATGATCGATCTGAGTGGATCTTATCGGCGCCAGACTTACAGACATTGATGACATTATAATTGCTTTTTCTCTAGTAAAAAGCCAGGCACTGAGCGAGGACTACCAATCGTGAGAGAGTTTCACGATCATTTGTTCTCAAACACATATTGAGTATTTAAATCGAACGTCGTGCGTTAAGGGTATCTTGTGATGAATGCTACAACTATTAATAGAGAGAAGTTTATTTTCATTGCGACGCCCCCACAGCCGAGAGTTCGTAATTTCCGTGTTTGAACACGAATGATCGGTGAAATTCCCAGAAAACAAGAACTTCAACTTATTCCTAAATCACATTAACAGAGCATGTACATTTGTGAAAGATAGTACTTTCTTAACAATCTAAAACTTTATTATTTATACAAAAATAAGAAAATTAAGGCAAATGGGAATAATTTTTTGCCGTTTTTTTCGAATTGTATATAAGAAATTCAAAAAAGAGGAAGAATTATCAAAGATATTATTCAAATATATATATTGTAAATATATAAAGATATGTTTTTCGAATAAAAAGCATGAAAATATTGGAATTTTAAGTTGGTTGTACAACATTATAAAGCGTATATATATATGATATTCAGGTATATTATCCTTGCATATTGTATTATAGTGTATTGTATACTAGTCATTTATCAGTAGTATCAGTTATTTTTTAAGCCGATTAAGTTATTACTAACCCAACAAACTTAAAGACCAATATATCGACTTGCAGTTTACCAGCTAGTTCTAAAAGGTTTGCAGGGATTTGTCCTTAAAACTGATATTGTGTTAACTGAAACGGACTATGGGACAGATTTTAAAGGTAACCTTTAGTCTATTAAATAGATACGCATATTTACGTGCTATGATTGGAATTCGATGTTAATAAAATGTATTTGATTAATTTTGCATATATTTAGTCATAATTTTATATGAAAATCACACTAATAAACGAGCGATTGATTTAAAAAATCCTTTGAACGAACACTGCTCTACTAATTTAAATAAAGTAGCGCAAAAATATCCATTCTTGGAATTACAAAGGTCTATAACTACGGACTTGCTTGCTAAAAACCTGCACAGACCCCCCACTCAAAATCCCTTAAGGCTTCCGAGGATGTTATTTGTCGCTGGCACGTGAAAGACCAGTACCGTGTTCATGTATAGTTTATATTATATATATATAGTAGGGTCACTATATTTGAATATCCCCATATAAACAATATCTGGATGATAAATACTTCTAATACATAGTAAGAAGAAGCAGACAAAGACACAAAGGCCAAACCATTAAGATCCTTATAAGTACGCGGAAATGAATCAAGCATCTTTATTGCAAACTTTAACCCTTTCTTTAAAAAAACAGAAACTGGCATTTGTTATGTAATCTAGGAAGGCAGTTTTTTTTTATTTTTTATTTTAAGTATATGCACGAGGCTTAAAGCCCGCGTGCACTTAAAGGACCACACCACGTAAATTCGCCATCTTTGATTTTGAATCACAAAGCATATTTTAAAAAGAGATCATTTGTAAATCACGAACAGTTTTTTTTTTTTTTTGATAAACTCTAGTGTGCAAGCATTTAGTCAATGTCCTTCCGGATAATTTTTAAATTTTGCAAAGAAACTTTGTCCTCTGCAATATTTATTAGTCAGCGGTCACCTTGTCACTACGATCAATACCATGATGCACTTCGCCAAAACAAACATGACGTCATAGGTATAGACGACCAATCATAAGTCATTACAACAATCAACCAATCTCACATCAAGACTTTGTTTTTGYGCCTCATGCTGTCAGTCGACTCACGTTTTCTAAAGTGTTGTTGTTGTTGTTTTGTTGCTGTTTGTGTCATGTGCATTTGGCCAAGAACTGTTCAATACAACAAGAACCAACTGTGCCATTTTCTCTGTAAATTGCGGTATTTTGCGGATATTTTGAGTCATACTGCACCAGAAAATATTGTTATTTTAATAATAAACTGCGAGGAGTTG